GGAGGCGCGAAGGGGGTTTGGAGAGGTTTTTACGTTCCTAGGGGGCTTTTGGGGAGTCCTGAGAGGGTCTTGGTGGGGCTAACATGGGGATTTGGAGGGATTTTGGGGGTCCTGGGAGGGATTTTGTGGTTCATGGGGGGGGTTGGGGATCCCGGATGGGGAGTTGGGTGCCCCAGGGGTATTCTGGGGGTTCCCAAGGGGGTCTGGGGTGCGGAGGGGGGGTCCTGGTGTTGGCCCGGGGGGTTGGGGGGGTCCCGAGGGGCCCGGTCGGGGCCCGGTCCTCGCACTGCGCACGCGCCGCTCAGCGCGCCGCCAGCCCCCCTCCCGCGCATGCGCCTGGCCCTCCCCGCGCCGGCCGGGGCGCGGCGTCGTGCGCCCCGTGCGTGCTGACGCCCCCGCGCGCCGGCCAATCGCCGCCCTCGCCCGCCGTGCGCGCTGGCGTCACGCAGCGGCCGTATATAAGCGGGAGACGGCGGTCCCGCCCCCCTGACAGCGCCTCGAGCCGCCGCCGCGAGAGCATCCTCCGCCCAGAGCCGCTCCCGCCGCCACAGCCGCCCCCCAGCCGCCGCCGCCGCCGCCGCCTCCGCCGAGGGAAGGGAAGCGTATCGTATGTCCGCTATCCAGAACCTCCAGCCCTTCGGTGAGGCCCCTTTGTGCGGCGGGGCCGGGGGAGCGCGCGGGCCCCGCCCCGGCCCCGCCCCGTGGCGCAGTTGCTATTCCGGGCCCGGTTGCGTCAGCCGCGGGGGAAGGAGGGAGGGGGCGGGGCCCCAGCGTGACGGGCAGGCGCGGCGGCCAATGGGGTGGGGGCAGGGGCTGGGGCCATTCGTGATTGACAGGCGCTGTGGGGCGGGGCAGGGGCGGCCCCAGCGCGTGAGGGACGGGTGGGGCCGCCAATGGGGTGCGCTCCTCCTGTGACGGACGGGCGCGGCGGCCAATGGGGCGCGGCGGGGCGGAGCCTGACGGCGCGTTGGGGTCTTGCCCCGCAGACCCCTTTGCGGATGCAAGTAAGGGTGATGACCTGCTCCCGGCCGGCACTGAGGACTACATCCATATAAGGATCCAGCAGCGCAACGGCAGGAAGACCCTCACCACAGTCCAGGGCATCGCGGATGACTACGATAAAAAGAAACTGGTGAAGGCCTTCAAGAAGGTGGGCATGGAGGGGCTGGGGGTCGGTCAGGCGCGGCGGGAGGAGGTTTATGAGGTGCTGAGGAGGTTTCTTGTCTCCTCGCTGCAGAAATTTGCCTGCAATGGAACTGTAATTGAGCACCCCGAGTATGGAGAAGTGATTCAGTTGCAGGGTGACCAGCGCAAGAACATCTGCCAGTTCCTCGTGGAGGTAGGACAGCCCTGGGCTGCTGCTCGTGAAATTAAACACGAGATTAAATAATAAACACACAGCAGGGCGGGAGGGGGAGAGAGCTCTGTCTCTGCCCCGGGTGGGGGGTTGGAACCTCACAGTCTCTTCCAGCCTAGCCCTCTTTGTGATGATTCTTTCTCTTCTGCTTTAATCCTTGATCAAGGCAAATTCCCCCCCCCCAGCAGGGTTTGCAGAGGAGTCTCACCTTCCCTCCCTGTGGATGGGGCAGTTCTGGGCAGGGATGGTGTGGGGGAGCACAGAAGCCTTGCTCTGGGCTGTAAATGGGTTTTCTGTCTTGCAGATTGGACTGGCTAAAGACGACCAGCTGAAAGTCCACGGGTTTTAAGTGCCTGTGGGCCTCTGGAGCTTTATGCAAGAAGATTTCCTTACCATGAAATTCCCACCTGTCCCTTGTCATAAGTTTAAAAGCAGCCGGTTTGTGTAATGTAACGATCTTGGGTCCACTGTTGAGTCTGGACTGGTGTAACTGGTGATGTAATAAACTGACACGAGCCCATGCTATCCTGTCTGCCTGTCCCTCATTTCCCAGAGCTCCAGCCTGGAGCCAAAGGTACCCAGCTGTTCCCAGCTCAGCCCAGGGACTTGGCCTGCCCGGATGGCTCCTCAGTCCAGCTGCGCTTCCAGCCCGGACGATGGGAATCGTGTCCTGCCCAGCCCGGGCCCCGAGCTCAGCTGGGGCACGGGGACATGGCACTGTCCCTCGGGGCAGTGCTGGCTCCCGCTGGCACAGGGATCTGGGGAAGCTTGGCTTGGAACAAGAGTGGCAGAAGAGTGAGGTGGAGGCTGGATGGCTGCAGCTCGGGTTCCCGTGAGCCCCGAGGGGGGTTAAACTTGTGACAAGGGATCGGTTCTGGACTAACATGAGGAGCAGCCTTGTGTCTGGAGCTGCAGAGCTTTGTGTCCATAGAGCTGCTGCCTCAGGCCCTGTGCAGTAACAACAGCTTTGGTTTCATTTATAATGTTTTATGTAATGTATTTAAAGTCTTATTTAAATAAAACTGGTTTTCAAAAGCCCGTGCGTGGTGGGTTCCGTCGATCCCTGGAGCCAAGGCACCTTCCCCTCTCCCAGCAGGGGCACGGGCTCAGGGGCCTGGTTGGTGTAATTGGGAGGGTTTGGGGGTGTCCCCCCACTCTGACCCACTGCAGGAAGGGGAACTTGAGCTCCATTGGTGCTGTCCCTGCTGCTCCTGCCCGAGGGGAGGGAAAAGCCCAGGAGTGGGTGGGTGCTGAGTCATTCCCTGCCCGGGCACAGCAACCCTGGAACCAGCTCTTGGGCTGCTTGTGTTCCCATAAGTCCTGTGGGCAGGATCAGCACTTGCGCTTCCCAAAAAATGCTGTGGGGAGGAGGGGGAGGCTCTGCTGCCCTGGGCACCTGCTTCTGGCAGCTCCCACAGCAGGTCACGGCTGTTCACCCACTGCCACAATGACCCCATGTCCCACGGGAGCGCTGGGTTCGTTCACTGCCACTTCTGCGGGAGACTTTGCTCCTGGAAACCAAATTGCTGCAACTGTGCAACACACTGAGTGCACCGAGGAGGGAGGTGACCTCGAGGCCTGCCTGTACCTTGGGGTGACCTCGAAGCCTGCCTGTACCTTGGGGTGACCTCCAGCCCTGCCTGTACCTTGGGGTGACCTTTACCCCTGCACAGTGAGAGCAGTTGCCGGCAGGTGCTCTCTCTGGGGGTGTGTTCCTGCTCACAGCCTGCACTCTGATGCTGCTCCAAAAATTCCCGAGCCCCTGCCTGTGCAGGGGCTGTCGGAGTACGTCCAGCCTGGATTCTTCCCTGCTGGCTCTGCCCTTGGACGCAGGAGGGAGGCACCGCCTCAGCCGCTGCCAGGACAGCCAGACCCAGCTGGGCAGGGGTGAGGGGGGCTGACGTCTGATGTCTGCCTAGAGAAGGGCCCAGCCGAGTGCCCGCGGGTTTGGCCACAAACCTACGTCAAGGTGCTGCCAAGCCCGTGATCCCAAAGGGAGCAGCCGCTGTTCCCGTCACCCTGACGGCTCATTTGGTCCAGATTGAGCCATTAAAAGCCACAAATTGGAAAACAATTTGTTTGTTCCTTGTGAGAGGTGCTCGGTGGAGCGAGCGATCGATGGCCACGAGGGCGGCGGGTGCCGCTGCCTCCCTGCCATCCAAAGGCCATTTGTTTTGGGGTGTTTGAGGAGCTCCGACACGGATCGTTGGGAACACGGCGAGCGGGGGCACACAGGACAGGGACACGGCCCAGCCCAGGATGTCACTCAGGGGTTTATTGAAGGAGGGAGACAAATGATCTCTAAAATACACTGGGAGGAGGGTCAATACGGGCAGGAGGGACTGTCAATATCGAACAAGGAACAGACAGGGAATTTTGGGGGCCTCTGGCAGCAAGCGGTGCCCACCCCTCCTGTGACACCCCAGAGCTTTTTGGGGTACAGGGAGAGACCGAGGGCTGCAGAATGGGGCCTGTGTGAAGGGCCTCATGCACACACACACACACACACACACACACCCTCCACCCCTTGGCTGTGTGCAGCCCCATCTGGGACCCCAGACATGCCACACACGTGTACAAACATACACAGACACAGGTATGGAGTGTGTGTGTTTGTACAGACACACAGCTATATGTGGACATGTAAGTATATATGTTTGTATACACACACATACATGTATGCATATGTGTACATACACATATATGTATATGTACCTTTGTGTATACATAATACACACATATACATACATGTATGTACTCATATATGCACACATGTGTCTGTGTATATATATATATATACACACACATATACATATACATGTATATACATATATATAAAATCCCAGAATCATTTAGATTGGAAAAGAACATCAAAATCATCAAGTCCCAGATATAAGTGTGTGTGCATATATATATATATATATGCACACACATACATATATATATATGTATATACTTGTATCTGTCTACATACTAATATATCTTTTTATATATATATAAAAATATGTATGTATATATATATATGTGTGTGTGTCTGTGAGCTCTCCTCTCAGTGTGTGTCTGTCTGTGTGTCTGTGTGTGTGAGCACTCTGTGTGTGTGTGTTTGTCTGTCCGTGTGTCTGTGTGTGCGAGCACTCCGTGTGTGTGTGTTTGTCTGTCCGTGTGTCTGTGTGTGTGTCTGTGTGTCTGTGAGCACACACAGGAGCCTGTGGGGCCCCCTCGTGGGGGGGGGGTGGGTGTGGAGCCGCCCCGGGGTGGGGCAGCCGTGTCAGTGCCTTTAAAAGCAGGACTGAGCACCAGAGACCCTGGAGAGAGGCACCCACTGAGACACCCACCCAGACACCCCGCCAGGACACCCTGCCAGGACACCCAGCGAGCCCCAGAGCCTGCAGGTGAGTCCCACAGGGCTCTGCCGCTGTCCGGAGGCATCGTGGGGACCAGCTGGGAGTCAGGGATGGAGAAGACTTGAGGAGCAGATGGGAGGGATGGAGGGGCTGGGAACCCACAGGCAGGGACAGAGGGGACTGTGAACTGGCCAGACCCCAGGAGGAGCGCCCAGGTCACCCCTCCCTGCAGGCTGAGCAGGTCTGGCTGGGGGGCTGCAGCCCCTCCACTCCCCTCCCCGCTCAGTCTCTCCACAGCCATGAAGGTGACGCTGAGCTTCGGCCTCATCCTCACCATCGCCGTGACCTCCTGCCTGTGCTGGCCCGCGGCACCGGGCGCTGTGGGGGACCCCCACCAGCACCCCCCCAGCCTGGTGCGGCGCGACTGGCCCGAGTACCTGTCCCAGGAGCAGCAGCACCTCCTGTCCCGGTTCCTGCCCCACGCCCTCACAGGTACCAGGAGCTCGGGGTGGGCAGCCCTCGGGGGGGGCACAGCCCTGTGCCAGCTCTAACTGCCGCCCTTGCCCTGGCAGAGCTGAACAACCACAAGGGCTTCGTGCACGAGGACGAGGGGATGGAGGCCCTGCACGAGCACTACTACCCCGACTGGATGGACTTCGGCCGCCGCAGCGCCGAGGATGCGGCCGATACCGCGTAGCCACGGGGCTGAGCTGACCATGCACGGCACCCACGCACTCGGTGTGTGTCCCTTCCTGCAATAAAACTCTGGCACTACGGCTGCTGCACCCAGGGCTGTGCTGGGGAGAGCTTGGGAGGGTGGGCAGGGGGCATCACCCCCAGCCCCGCAGGGAAGCACAGGGCAGAGGACACAGCACACACAAACTGCTCTGTGACTTCACATTTATTTGCCAGGGGACAGGGCACAGCCCGGGGTGAGGGACGTGGCCGGTGGGAGCAACAGCGGCACCCCAAGAAACACCCCGAGCTACAGGTGCTGCTACTATTGCTACTCAGTGAGTGGGAAAGAGTTTAAACCATTTTTAAACCATTCCTTTTAAAAGCCAGTCCAGGTGCTGGCCAGGGACCCAGCCTGGGTGTGTGGGGGGGGAAGTCTCCCCCTGGCACAAGCAGGTTCCCCCAGGACCCACCTGAGCATCGCCCTTTGCTGCAGCATCTGGAGATCCCCGAAGGGCCGAGCTGCCCCTCGCTCCTTGAACAGGCTCAGCAGAAGCAGGAACAGTTCTTATTGCCAGAAACTGGCTCCTGTGAAGGGTCCATTACCCCCAGCAGGGACAGGGTCAGTCGGCCCCCCTGCACCCCCCACACACAGGGAGCAGCACCGGGTTCTGTCCTTGCAGCCAGGGCAAAGCCCTCCTCAAGTGCTGGGAGTGCTGCCGGTCCTGGGCAGCACCTGGAGAGGAGGCTGAAGCTTGTCCTGTCTCCATTTCCCCGTGGATGGGCAAGGAAGAGGATGTGTCTCACCGTGAGCCTGGGGGCTCTGCAGCAGTGTCACGTCAGGGTGCCCCGGGCCCCCCTGTGCCCTCCCTGGGCACGGGACATCTCCCCTCTGGCCACCACCTTGTCCAGCCCCAGGCGCTGCAGCTTCTCCACCAGGTTCCAGCTGAAGATGCTGCTCCTGGGTGAGGGTCCATCCTGCCCCCGGGGCACAGGGGAGGGCTGGGGCTCAGCGTGCTGGGAGTCCTGGGAGCAGAGTGAGGGGGCCCGCCACAATCCAGCCCCTGGTGCCGAGTGGGAATCTCGCCCCAGCAAGAGCCTGAAGAGTCCCACAGGGGTGCTCGGGGGTCCAGGGCCAAGCACCAGCGTGGGGGGAGACTGTTCTGGCGAGGGGCTGCTGAGGCTCAGCCCCTCAAAGGGCCCACAAGAAGGCACAACGGCATGATACAGACTGGAGGGAAAGAGAGAGCAGAAAGGAGGCATCAGTGGGGGACCCTGGCCCAGGGGATGCTGCTGCAGGGGCCGGGAGGGGCCTCGGGCAGAGCAGGACCCCTTTTCCTCCTTCACCTAATGAGCCTTGGGCTATGGGACACCCGTGCTGCAAAGTGCTCAGTACCCCAAAGCTCAGGGCCAGGTGCTGGGGGGCTGTGGCCATGCCCCCCCAGCTCAGCAGTCAGGAAGGATTGGAACACAGTCCCTGCTCCACAAGCAATTTCCAGACGTGCAGGGTTGTGTCTAACAGTGAACTCCAGCTCACACCAAACCCCAAGGAGCCTGTGGGGGCTCATTAGGGCTAATCACCGGTGCTCATTAATGAAGGGTCAGCCCAGAAACTCAGCTGGGGAAATGTCCTGGCTGCTGCCCAGCCGTGTCCTTTCCCCGGAGTGCCGGGAGCACACGCTGCTCTGTGCCCAGGGTGAGCCCCCCCCAGGAAGGCTCTCCATCCCCTCAGGATGCTGCAGCGCAGGAGGGGGTCGGGGGGAGAAAGGCTGGTCCCAGCCCCCCACGGGCACACAGACAGCCCAGCAGCCAGATTTGGGGATGCTTCAAGTGCCGGCATCTCTCAGAGCATCAGGGGCTGCAGGTGGTCCCCGGCCTGCGGCTTCCTCGAGCTGCAGGGAGCCAGGCAAGGGGTGAGGCAGCGAGAGCCGGGGGGCACGGCCAGAGCCGGGGGGGGCACGGCCAGAGCCGGGGGGGGCACGGCGGGGCGGGTGCAGGCAGCGCAGGCGGTGGGAGGGGCCACGCGCCTTACCTGGGTGTCACCGTGGTGATCGCAGTGGTGGGGTGGAGGATGTGGCAGGTGGTGATGGTGAAGGTAGACGGGGTCTGGGGGAGGTTGTTAACAGAGAGGAACACTGGAAGGGACAGGAGACAAGGGGTCAACGGGGAGGGGGGGGGGCAGGACACAGGCGGAGAGCGGGGCTGGGGGCGGGCGGGAGAGCCGAAGCCGGGCCGGGAGCTCCGTGCGCGGGGCAAAGTTCCAGCAGCCCTGGCGTCCGGTGCCTGCTCAGAGGGGGCTGTGAGCACAGGTGGGACCAGGAGATGCCGTCTGTCCCAGACCTGCCCCCTCCACACGGTCGGGGGCCAGCAGGGGCACACCGGGGTGCCAGAGAGGGCTCACCCCGCCGGGGCGGCTGCCGGAGAAGGGCCCTCGCGCAGCTGCAGACGGAGGGTCCCCGCGGGGACAGGGGGGTGGCAGGGATAGGCTGCTGCAAGACGGGAGAGTGCAGGGGAGAGCGACGGGAAGCCTGGGCAGGAGGGCAGGGGCGTCCCGGGGGCCACGTCCCCTCCGTCCCCTCGCCCCGCGCTCACCCCTGGGGCGCTCCTTGGCTTTGGCGGGTGTTGAGGTAGGGAGCAGCTGGAAGGAGCCGGTGTCCACGTCATCCTCCTCCAGGTCATTGAGGCTGTACACCTCCTCCAGGTCGATGTCCAGCTGCCTGAAGTCTTTGGTGAGCACCCCGGGACGGGGCACCAGGATCCCGCCCAGGTTGGGTTGTGCCAGCTGCTGCCAGTGGTGGAGGGTCACAGAGCCTGGGGACAGAACACAGCCGGGGGGGCTCAGCTGGTGTCGTTGGACTCTCATGGCACCTCCAGCTCTGCACCCCCCTCTGCCCCTCACCTTCCAGTGGTTTCACGATCTGCAGCTTGTCGGGCAGGTATGTGAGGGAGCCGAGGGAAAAGGTGGAGCCGGCGGTGAGCTCCGAGCCCCCCGAGTAGCTGGTCCCCGTGGAGACGATGCTCTCGTTGGGGGTGAGGAAGCCGCTGGAATTCGCCCCGTCCCTCAGGCGCCAGAGCTTGCGCTCCCGCTCGGCCTCGAAGAAGGAGCGCTCCTCGGAGGAGTGGCTCTGCTGCCGCGCCGACAGCCGCTGCACCGCCGCCTCCAGGTCCTGCCGGCCCGGGGCTGCCCAGGGGGCCCCGCCGGACCCCTCGGATCTGCTGGCAGGCACAGTGTTGGGGTGCCCAGGGCCGTGGTCCCGCACCGCACCCCGGGCTGTGCTGGATCCTGCCCTCCCTGCCCCAGGCTGATTCCTGCTCCGGTGTGACCAGCAGGTCACCAGCACCTCGGCTCCAGCGCAGGGGCAGCCGCTGTCCCACCTGGCCCCAGTTAACCCCCCCCAGCACTCACCGGGCACCCTCCGAGCCGGAGCAGCTGATGTGGGGGGTGCTGGTCCCCCCAGAGTGGGCGGCTGACAACTGCTTGGAGCCTGGCATGTGGCGGGGAGACTCGGAGCAAGACTTGGCTTTGGCTGCCTGGTTCACTGCCTTCACCGTCTCGAAGACGCGCAGGTAACTCCTGCAGGAAGCGGGTGGGGGTGAGCCAGGCACCCCCCGAGACCCCCGTCCCACGGCACAGCACGAGCCACCGATGCCAGCGCTCACTTGTAGTCCGAGGAGGAGCTGTCAGTCCTCTTCCTCATCATGCCCTTGATCTCAGCGGCCAGCGAGTCCTGGAGACAGGGGGGGATGCAGTGTCAGTAGAGGGGAGAGCAGCAACACCCACCTCCGCCATCCCCCACCCCGCGCCCCCCGGCGCTCACCACGGGCAGCAGACTGGCCGCGCTGTAGCGGCTCACGGTGCTGTTGGGCAGGCTGCGGCTCCGCAGGCTCTTCACCTCCTCCTGCGCTTCCTGCAGCATCCCGCCGCACTCCGCGTACTTCTCCTGCAGGTCCCGCAGCTGCGGGGACACGGGCACAGCTCGGGCACGGCCCCGGGGGCAGCTGGCAGGACCCCCCCCACCGGCCGGGACGCCCACGGCCCTCACCTCCATCCGGAGCTGCTGCTGCACCTCCTTGGCCGCAGTCAGGTGCTGCTGGAGCTCCTCCACCTCGGAGCCGTACTGCGGGCAGGAGCGGGCACGTCAGGGCGCTGTGCCCGCGCCACCCCCCCACCCCCGGCACGGGCAGGGACCCTCGGAACGGGCAGGGATCCTCGGCACGGGCAGGGACCCCTCACCGTGCGGCACTTCTGCTGCAGGTCCGCGACCTGCGCCAGGAGCTGGGTGATCTCCTCCTGCTGCCGCGCCGCGTCCTCCGCCCGGTGCGCCAGCTCCTCCGACAGGTGAACGACCTGCTGGCTCGCTTCGGCTGCGGGAGGGCCGGGCTCCGTCACCGCCGGGGCACGGCCCCCCAGCCCCAGCCCACGCAGCGATGCTGGGCGCTGCCTGCAGACCCCCCAGCCCCACATACAGAACTGCTCCACGCAGTCGATCATCAGCTGCTGCTCCTGGTCCTCGTACTGACAGGTCTCGGTGGCGATGCTGGTGGCCTGGAGGAGATGGTTGGAGGGGCTGAGTGTGATGGGCAGGACCTTCCACCTCCCTGGGAGGCAGCTCGGGTCCCCCTGCAGTGAGCGGGGCAGAGGTGGGCACCACAGGGCATCCACCAGCTGGCTCTGCTCACCTCCATGCGAAGCTTCTGGTTCTCCTCCTCCAGGCACTTCAGCTTCTGCTGCAAGGTGTCGTACTGGAAGTACTGCTGCAGGGACAGCGAGGACTCGTGCCGGCGCAGCCTGGGGACAGCAGGGATGGCACTGAGCACCTGCAGTGCGGGCAGGATGGGGCTGCCCACCCAGGCAGGAAACTGCAACAACTCAGCCCTGTGCTGCTGGAGCCACAGCCACCGAGGGAGGGGAGGGAAGGGAGCACATCCAGTGCTACCCTGGTGGTGGTGGCAGTTCCTGCCCAACCCGCAGGAGCAGCAGCGAGGGACTCCCACTCACGGTGTGGAGGTGGTGGTGGTGGG